AAAAAAAAAAAAAAAGAAAGAAATTACATGTCTGAAATTTGCTTCAGATAATCCAGTGGTGGGGAGGGGTGATGAGTGGGATTATAGCTGCAACAAGAATGACCGTGAATTGGTAATTGTTAAAGTTGAGTGAAATATATACGGGGGCTTATTATAGTATTCCCTTTACTTTTATATTTGTGTGAAATTTCCCATAAGAAAAAAATTCTAAAGCACTCTGCGTACCACTTATATGTTTGACTTTATTATACTAGATTAGAATTTGAAAAACAAAAAACTCGGCTTAATATTCAACTCGAGTATTGCCGAAATCAGCTGAAGAAGAAACTAAGTAAGATCAACTCATTAAAAGAAACAATCCAGAAAGGTAGAGAAGACATTGATAATCTAAAGAAGGTAATTAATCATGGGTGACTGAAGTGCCTCTTCGTTGAAATTGGCTTCCTTCATTGAATAAACCTTTGTTGAACTTCTGAAGGATCCTGGGGAGGGGGTACGGATTTAAGAACTATTTTAAGTATTTGAAGTATATGGAAGGGGTGCCATGGATGACTCTGAGTTCTAACTTGTGTGATTGGTGAATCGTAGCAGCAGGTTAAGGAGAGAAATTTCTGGACCTGTGGAGTTGCCAACATGATGTCTAGATGGCAGTTTCCAGGAGGCCATTAAAAAGTATGTAGATAAAAGAATTCTAGGCTGGAGATTTAGATTTGGGAGTGGCTGGTTAATGAGAGTAAATTGAAACCAAATGAGAATAGTTGTGACTCCCCAGTAGATAGGCAGCTAGTGAAGAGGAGTGGAGCAGTGATGAGATTCTGGAAGGTAGTCAGTCACTTTAGGATGAAAGCCAGAGAGGTGATACAGAAACCCCAGGGTTTTAGGAAGGAGGAAGGAATGAAAACTGTCAAAAAGGTAAAGTCTGGAAAATGTCTCTTTATTGCCAGTTAGAGCTCATAACAGCAAGAACACTTTCACTGGACAATGGAAGTAGAAGTCAGATGGCAGTGAGCTGAGGAATTAATCCAAAATGAAGGATAAAGGAAGGTAGTGATTACCAGTTTCTAAAAAGAGTAGAATGAGAGTGGGCCACAACCTATGATGGAGCTTCAAGGTACAAGTAGCATACAGGATTAGAAGGTTTATCTTGGAATGACTGGTATGGTTTTATTGATTATAAAGTAACTTATTGACTGTATTAATATAAAAGATGATAAATCTACAGTGCAAACCCTCTCTGTTCAGGCTGAGGAAAACTGTCTTCAAATCGTGGATGAACTCATGGCAAAGCGGCAGCAGCTTAAAGATGTATTTGTCACCCAGAACTCCAACATTGAGAAAGTTCAAACTCAAATTGAAGAGGAACGAAGAAAATTTTTGGCTGTTGATAGGTAACTAAGAATTCATTCGGGCCGGGTATGGTGGTTCACACCTATATCCTAGCACTTGGGAGGCGGAGACAGGTGGATTGCCTGAGCTCACGGGTTTGAGAGGAGACTGAGCAAGAGAAAGACCCTGTCTCTACTAAAAATAGAAAAATCAGTTGCACATTGTGGTGGGTCCCTGTAGTCCAGCTACTCAGGAGGCTGAGGCAGGAAGATCAAGTTTGAGGTTGCTGTGAGCTATGACAATGCCACTATACTCTAGCCCAGGTGACAAGTGAGATTCTGTCTCAAAGAAAGAAATCAGTTTGAGGCTCGGCGCCAGTAGCTCAACCGGCTAAGGCGCCAGCCACATACACCTAAGGTGGCGGGTTCGAATCCCCAGCCTGGACCCGCCAAACAACAATGACGGCTGCAACCAAAAAATGGCCGGGCGTTGTGGCGGGCGCCTGTGGTCCCAGCTACTTGGGAGGCGGAGGCAGGAGACTCGCTTGAGCCCAGGAGTTGGAGGTTGCTGTGAGCTGTAATGCCACGGCACTCTGCCTAGGGGGACAGCTTGAGGCTCTGTCTCAAAAAAAAAAAAAAAAAAAAAAGAAATCAGTTTGAAATACCTACTCAGAGTTTTAAAAACGTGTATCATCAATTCGAAATCTATTATATGACGTTTTTTTAAATATGTGCCCTTTGTTGCTCTTGGTCCACGTCACACCTTTCAAACATTCTCATCTGGGGGAAAACCAAGAGAGGTGGTAGTTGTTGACAGCAAATAGTTCTTTTCAGTAGATGGAAACATGAGTGTGTTTAGTACCTTATCCTTAATCTCCTTGGAAACTGTTACCTTTCTGTTATACAGAGATTCCCTCCAGTCTGTGCTACAGAGCATAGAGGAGAGGGTAAGGGTAGAATCTGGAGCCATGCTGCCTGGTTTCATGTCCCAGCTCTGCTCCTTATATATCATACCTTAATTTCCACAGCAGTAATGCAGATAGTAGTAGGGTTAAAGTGAATTAATATTTATATGGCACTTAGAATAGTACCTGGCAAGACAAGCATGTATGTGTGCCATGCTTATCACACATACATGATGATGATGATGATGACGACACTTTGAATCACTGGCTTGTACCAAAATGACACTTTCTTGTCATGCATCATTTATATAACTATAAGTAATCAGACGATATGAGGTCTTTGTTTTTGCTCAGCCTCTTGGCATTTCACAATTTTCCTCACTGTCCAAAACTCATCAGTGTTTCCAGATAATAGGCACAAATTTGTCTAAGATTTTTGAGTGGATTTTTTTTACTCTTGTATTTAAAAAGAAATCTTTCCTCCTTTATATCCTTGAAAACTATGTAGTTCTTAATTTCTTCTTTCTTTTTTTGGGGGGGGGAGGGGGAGTCCTCATTCTAGGTGTGCTTTAAAATTCCATACCATTTCAACTAGTAAAACTCCAAAACTTCATCTTGAGGTAGAAGGCATTACATTAGTGGTGGTGGTAAACTTTAGATTATTAGATTGTAATGACTTTCTTGGCAAGACATGTCTGTTGCTAAGAGACTTTCTTTTGGTTTGAGGTTCTAAAATACAGAGCTTAAATTTGAGAGATAAATATGCAGCTTAAAAAATTGACAGATTTAAAAATAAAATAACCAGGAAGTACTATGTCTTTGCTAGTCCTGATTATAGCAATAATGTTTATTAGTGAAAAATGCTCCCTTAGATTAACTAATGACATTCATAGCCTTTCTTAGGAATGTTAACAATTTACATTAGCATCAGTGAGAGAACTGTAGAATTTATAGCACTCATTGGAAAAAAATAACTTTTTTTCATATAAGTTTATAACATGTAACATTTTTCTTTCTTGATACAATGTTATATAATGAGTAACTTTGTCCTCTCTGTGTATTTATAGAGAAGTGGGAAAGCTGCAAAAACAAGTTGTCACCATTCAGACATCTCTGGAACAGAAACGTTTGGAGAAGCATAACATGCTGCTTGATTGCAAAGTTCAAGATATTGAAATAATTTTTTTGCTGGGGTCACTGGATCAGATCATTGATGTAGAGGTATTCCAGCAAATTTTAAAATATGTACTGTTGGCTCAGCGCCTGTGGCTCAAGCGGCTAAGGCGCCAGCCACATACACCTAAGGTAAAGGGTTCAAATCCAGCCCGGGCCCACCAAACAACAATGACAGCTGCAACCAAAAAATAGCTGGGCATTGTGGTGGGTGCCTGTGGTCCCAGCTACTTGGGAGGCTGAAGCAGGAGACTCACTTGAGCCCAGGAGTTGGAGGTTGCTGTGAGCTGTGATGCCACAGCACTCTACCTAGGGGGACAGTCTTTGGGGCAGGGAAAACACCTTGTCTTTCTAAGAGGGAAAAAAGACAAAGTAACTATCATTCCAGAGGACTAGGCATTTCATGCAATTTTCATATCTCTTTATTAATCCATATTTCTTTAGGTCCACAGGATGAACCAGTGTTTCTTACCTATGTATTAGATACCTAAGAGAATTCAGAGAATTAAAGCTGTTGGAATTAAAACATTTTGCACAGTGAATCCCGGCAGAATGCAAATCACCTGCCAGCAGGAGCAGCTCCCTGCACTCTTTATAGGGATCCTGCTCTGCACCCTCACCAGCAACTGTGTTGAAGTTCTCAGAAGATTTAGTTGATAAATGTTGTATGTATTCATATTTTTCAGATGGGAACTGAAGCAGAAAGTACCCAGGCAACAATTGATATCTATGAAAAAGAAGAAGCCATTGAAATAGACTATAGTTCTCTACGAGAGGATTTGAAGGTAATTGAAAGATTTCTGTTATGACTAACTCACAATAGTATTGACTATTTAAATACTGCAGAATCATTTTTAGATGACAGAATGTAAATATTTTTAAGTAGATTTCCTAATGGTTTTTGAAGAAATATACAAAGGAAAAACTTCTGACATTAAATATGTCTCTTTTGGCTGGGCTCGGTGGCTCACACCTGTAATCCCAGCACTTGGGAGGCTGAGGTGGGTGCACTGCCTGAGCTCACAGGTTCAAGACTAGCGTGAGCAAGAGCAAGACCGAGACCTCATCTCTTAAAAAAAACAGCCGGGTGTAGTGGCAGGCACATGTATTCCCAGCTACTTAGGAGGCTGTGGCAAGAAAATTGCTTAAGCCCAAGAGTTTAAGGTTGCTATGAGCTGTGATGCCACAGTACTCTACCAAGGGGAAAAAAAAAAGTCTCTTCTACACCAAGCAGTTCTCCAATTTTTTAAACACCTATTAGGAATCCTATAATTCAATTGAATTCTATCTACCGGAAGTTAGCATCAGACCCCACAAGTTAAGACCCATCAGTCCCATTTACTGCCCACTCTTCAGATGCTAATCACAAGTCCAAGCCTCCTTGTAACTTCTGGCCAACTGGCTTTAAATTGGGAGTTCCCACAGCCCCCTGCTTGGATTTGATTATTTGCTAGAATGGCTCACAGAACTGAGGGGAATTCTTTATTTACATTCCCCAGTTTATTATAAAGGATATGACTCATGGAATAGCCAAATGGAAAAGATTCGTAGGGCCAGGTATGAAGAAGGGCTCTTGGACTCTCTCATACCATTTCAGGGTACCATTCTTCTTTGTGTGGCCACCAACTTGGATGTTCTTTAAACCTACTATTTAGGGATTTTAATGCAGGCTTCTTTACAAAGGCATGATTGATTAAATCATGGGCCATTGGTGATTGTATCTGATTTTCAGCCTCTCCCCAACCAACCCCAGAAGAGGGATGCTGAAAGTTCCCAGCCCCCAATCACATGGTTGGTTCCACTGGCAACCAGTCCCCATCCATTAAGAGCTCAGTAGCATAAACTCAGGTATGGTTGAAAGGGTCTTATGAATAACAAATGATGCTCCTCTCACCCCTACCATTCAAGACATTCCAGAAGTTTTAGGAGCTCTGTGCCAGGAACCAGGGACAAAAACCAAATAAAATGTATTACAATATCACAGTATCACAAAAGAGCAGTAAATAGGTTACTTTTTAAAGTGTTTATAGGAGCATTTTTAACAGTGTTCTGTAAAATACTAGTACCACAAAATTTCTAGCCAAAGAAGTGACAACCCAGGTTAAGTGAGAGAAAGATATCAATCCAGGGAGGTTTATTAAGCCAAAGTTTGAGGACAAAGCTGAGGAAGCATCAGTAACCTGTGCTATCTGAAAAGGGATTTTAGGAACTCAGTATTTAAGGGGAGGAGGCATCCAAAAAGAAAAAGGAGGAGAGGGGTGGACAGTGAGATAAATTGTTACATTCTTGTGAGACTTGAGTTAGTGTCTAGGAATATACATTTTATATTAGATAAGGTGGATGTTTGGAGAGAAAAAGGGAGAGAATGAAGCATCAATTACGCAGATGTCCCTAGGGGGAGAATGACGGATCTTCTCTTGTCTCTCTTCTCCACCTGGTAAGATAAACTTGTGATCAACATTATTAGTATGTAATCTGACAGACTTCAATTTTAGGAACTAGACTAAGCCTGCAGACCTAAAGTTATAATTGGCATGTCTTTGTTTGTGGGAGGTCAGCAAGGAATTTTCTTATGAATGATCTCTGGGGAGAGCCCTTTTTCCTTTGTGTGGCCTCTGGGATCTGTCTAACATTTAGTGTTAGCAGCAGCTCTTCCCCTGGAAGGGGGTGTTGGTGACTCAGCCTGCAGGCTTGACCTTGGAGGGGGAGGACTCAAGATTTGTATTTTCCTTTACAAAAGAAAATTCTCCGTGGTCAGCTACTTTTTGATAAAGTCTATTTTCATTTTGGAGATTCACAAGGAATGTTAAAGTCTCTGAGGAGTCCTACAATAAACAAAAGTAACCCACAACTCCAGCATCCTCGGTTCACCCTGTCAGTATCTCACGGTGCAGTCACCTTAGCCGGCACCCTCTCCCAGAATACCATGGGCGATGTTGTGCCAAACCCCTTACAGCTGCCAAGCATAGACCTCAGATACAACTTCAACTTAATTCAATTGAATTTAATTTGGTTCCTTTAATTGAGCACCTCTGGTTCTGTTTCTCAGTTGTCCTTGTATCTACATTTCTCTGTATGTTGGCTTCATTGAAGCTGCTTCTCTCCTGAGAATGAGGAGACTACTGCTGTTCCTGGCTTTCCAGCCACACAGCCATACCCTTCTGAGGAGAGAGGCTGCCTTTTGTAGTGCTCTAAAATTGAAGAACAGGGCAGCACCTATGGCTCAGTGAGTAGGGCGCCAGCCCTGTATACTGAGGGTGGCAGGTTCAAGCCCGGCCTTGGCCAAACTGCAGCAAAAAAATAGCTGGGTGTTGTGGCGGGCACCTATAGTCCCAGCTACTTGGGAGGCTGAGGCAAGAGAATCGTCTAGGCTCAGGAGCTGGATGTTGCTATAAGCTATGACGCCACGGCACTCTACCGAGAGTGACAAAGTGAGGCTCTGTTTCTAAATAAAATAAAATTGAAGAATGGTTTTTTCTATAAATTCCCAGCAACTGTCCCCTCATCACAGTGGCCTAAATGGGGTTGTTGATGGAAAAGAAGCCATACTCTGTAAAATAATTTGAAGAAGTTTACTTTCAGCCAAATTTGAGGACTAAGACCTGGAGCCACGCCCAAGAAACCTTGAGCAAGTGGACTCATGGTGGGGCTACAGTTTGTTTTTATACATTTCAGGGACACAGGAATTATAGGTAAAGTCATAAATCAGTATATGGAAAGCATACATTGGTTTGATCCAGAAAGATGGGATGTTTCAAATTGGGGGTCCATAGGTTATAGATGGGTTTAAAGATTCTTCAGTTGATAACTGGCTGAAATGATTAGGCTTTTTGTCTATTAGACCAGGAGTCAATGAAAAGGAATGCTTGAGTTAAGATAAGGGTCTGTTAATCAGAGACAAACTACCAACACTTGCCCAGATCCCAGTGGTTTGGTGTATATAGTGAGGAACTGCACGTCTATCTTGCATGGCCCTAGACCTGTTAAAGAGTCACACAGGGCATCTCTACAAAAGGGAGGGGGGCATGCTGAAGCATGTCTGATCTCCTCATGGCTAGTAGCTCAGTTTTAGGGGATCCCCTTGGCCAAGATGGGGTCCAGTCAGCTGCTGGAGGGGGAACCTTAAGATTTTATTTCAGTTCACAGGGTCACACGTTCATTTCTGAACCAGTAACTGTTTGGGGATGAGGATGGTGGATTTAGCTTTAGAGCAAGCATAAAGCAGGCCCACCCACTAAGGACATGGATCTGCATAGGCAAAGACATGTGCTGTGTTAGAAAGGAAAAAAAAACATCTGGGCGTGGTGGCTCACACCTGTAATTCTAGCATTCTGGGAGGCCAAGGGAGTAGATTGCCTCGACTCACATATTTCAAGACCAGCCTGAGCAAGAGGAAGACCCTGCCTCTACAAATAACCAGGCGTTGTGGCAGGCAACTGTAGTCCCAGCTACTTGGGAGGCTGAAGCAAAAGAATTACTTGAGCCCAAGAGTTTGAGGTTGCTGTGAGCTTTGATGCCACAAAACTCTACTGAGGGTGACAAAGTGAGACTCTGTCTCAAAAAAAAGAAAAAGGAAAAAACTAATGGAGGATGAGTATCCATAGCCACCACATCTTTTAGTTTCTTGTGTTTATTATTTTGTTAATTTGGTGGACTCTTGATTGTATTTGTAGCATCTTTTGGCAATCAAAAACCTTATCCATAGTCTTCTGTTTGCAGTTTTCTCCCTTTGCCTTTTTATATTTAGAAAGTACTTTCCCACCTCATTGCCAGTAAAAAATTATAAATATTTTTTCCTGTTTATAGTTTTGTTTTCATTTACCTGTTCAATTCATCTGAAATACATTTTAGTATATGGTATGAGGTAATATAGTGCCCAGGAGTTCCACAAAGACCACATTGCCAAACAAGCCAAATTTACAGCAGAGTCCTTTTATTGAAGAGCCAGCTGGTGACTGCCTCAGTGTCCCAATATGTGGTTTCTGAGAGAGCCCCAAGTGCTTAAGGAGTCAAGTTTTTAAGGCTTGGTCTGCATTCCGGTTGGCACATAGGCTATCCAGGTGCATTTGGGGGTGGTAGCAAGCAAGCATTATACAGAAGCAGAATTTTGCAGTTAGTTAGCCATATGTCATACATCTTTGTTTTAATGTTTTCCCATACATTTTAGCTTCAGTACTTTTCCTCCATGCATCTTTCAGTATTCTCTCCACCTGGCATTGTTTAAAGTCAGTCTGGGGATCATCAGTGTTTCCCAGGCCCAGGAGTTAGTCAAGCAAGAAGTTAGTGAGTACTTTCCCATCTATCTTGGGAATAAACCAGACTTAACTCCATTTTGTTGAGGGCTTGCAGCCCAGGAATTTGTCAGGAGTTAACTGGTATTTTTCTAGCCTAGACATAACAGTAAGAATCTGTTTTTGAAAAGGCACCCAGGTTAACCAGTTTACTCAGTAATATTTTAAAAATTCTCCCAATGAATTAAAATGTGACCTTTATCATACATTAATTAGTCCCCATCTTGGAAGTAAAAAAAAAAAAGTTTTCCTGGAAGAGCATGCCTGCAACACATTTTCTCTTTCCTTCTCACTCGAGTTAGTTCTGCTCATCATTCAGGTCTCAGACTGTTACCCCCTCTAGTTGGATTAGATCCCCTTATCTTCTCTGAAGTACCTATGCCTGCCCTGTTAGAAGTCTTTTTACCCTATTGTAAAAGCCAGTTTATACGGCTGACTTCCCTGTGAGCTCTTTAAAGGCAAAGACTAATTTCCAACATTGAATCCTCAGTATAATACATGGTAGATGATTGATATTTTTTAATAAGTAAATAAGGGTGATCATATGAATTATTGCTTTTTAGCCAGATTAAAAAGTCCTTAGTTGAAACATGTTGCAGGAGAATGAACAGCAAGTACAGTGCTGAAGCCAGAAGAGAGCATAGGCCACTCAGGAAGCTGCCGATGCTGCAGAGTAATGCACCTGCAGGCTCAGCCAGCGCCTGGGGAGAGCAGGTAGGGATGTGGAAGGAGCCTCTGGGGCTGACAGTGAAGACTGTCTGTCCCTCACCCTAGCAGCTGTTTTGTTTTGTTCTAAATTTCAAATTAATATGAGTGCACAAATTTTTAGGTTACATTGTTCTCACCTCTAGGGTAAAGTTCCAGTTGTAAAAGACCCCCTCACACAATCATGCTCCCACCTTCTTCTACACCCATACTAGACTGTATTTGTGTTTTATTGTTCATATGAGCATGTAACTGTTTATATATTGATTTCACATTAGTATGGAGTACATTGGATATTTATCTTTCCATTCTTGTGATACTTTAGTAAGAATGTATTTCACCTCTATCCAGGTAAATGTAAAAGATGTAAAGTCTCCATCTTTTTTTTTTAAGACAGAGTCTCAGTATGTCACTTTGGGTAGAGTGCCGTGACGTTACAGTTCACAGCAACCTTAAACTCCTGTGCTTAAGCAATTCTCTTGCCTCACCCTCCCAAGTAGCTGGGACTATTGGCTCCCACCACAAGGCCCGGCTGTTTTTTTGGTTGTAGTTGTCATTGTCATTTGGCAGGCCCAGGTTGGATTCGAAACCGCCAGCTCTGGTATATATGGCTGGCACCCTAGGCACTGAGCTGCAGTCACCAAGCCAGGATCTTTGAGGATTCTCCATACTTCTCTCCAAAAAAGCTGTATTAGTTTAAAGTCTTACCAGCAGTGTATAAGTGTTCCCTTTTCTCCACATCCACACCAACGTGTGTTTTTTTTGTTTTTTTTTTTTTTTTTGGTTTTTTTTGAGACAGAGCCTCAAGATGTCCCCCTGGGTAGAGTGCCATGGCATCACAGCTCACAACAACCTCCAACTCCTGGGCTCAAGCCAGTCTCCTGCCTCAGCCTCCCAAGTAGCTGGGACCACCCACCACAACGCCTGGCTATTTTTTGGTTGCAGCTGTCATTGTATTTTTGGCAGGCCCAGGCTGGATTTGAACCCACCACCTTAGGTGTATGTGGCTGGCGCCTTAGCTGCTTGAGCTACGGGCGCCAAGCCCAGCATGTGCATTTTGGGAATTTATGATATGAACTAATCTTGCTGAGCTACCTTACCCTAGCAGTTTGGATGTGATAGCATGCCAGTCAGTGTTGTTCTTTGCCCTCAATAGGTTCTACAGTCTGATAAAGAAGTCGAGGCCCAACTTAGCCTTTTATTGCAGCAAGTAGCATCCCAAGAAGATGTTCTGTTGAAGACAGCAGCCCCAAACCTGCGAGCACTGGAAAACTTAAAGACTGTCAGAGACAAGTTCCAAGAATCCACAGATGGTAAAATTGAATTGTTAACAAGATTATATTTGTGAGAGCTTTGATTTTTTTTAACACTTGGCAATCAGTCCCCCTCAGTTGTACTTTTTTGAATTATGTATTTTTCCTCTATTGTCTTATGTTTTAATACTACATCACTGCTCCCATTTTGAAAAGTATGCTACTTTAAAACAGACTTATTGACTGCCATGGGCGTCTCATACCTATGGCCTCAGCGCTTTGGGAGACTGAGGTAGAAAGATTGCTTGAGCCCAGAAATTTGAGACCAGCCTGGGCAAGAGCTTGTCCGTACAAAAAAAATTTAAAAATTAGCCAGGCATAGTGACACACACTGGTAGGTAGTACCAGATACTTGGGAGACTTAGATGGGAGGATTGAGCCCAAGAGTTTAAGGTTGCTATCAGCTACAATCATGCCACTACATTGCATCCTGGGCAACAGAGTAAAACCCTGTCTCAAAAACAAAACAATAGAACAGATTTATAGGTTGTTTTAGAAAATATATATATTTTTTCATGCCAGAAAAATAGACAGATTAAATATTCTGCCATAACTTTTCTTTTTTTTTTTCAGATAGGAGCCTTAAGCTGTCTCCCTGGGTAGAGTGCCATGACATCACAGCTCACAGCAACCTCCAACTCCTAGGCTCAAACAAGTCTCCTACTTCAGCCTCCTGAGTAGCTGGGACCACAGGCACCCGCCACAACACCCAGCTATTTTTTCGTTGCAGCCTTCATTGTTGTTTGGCAGGCCCAGGCTGGATTTGAACCCACCACCTTGAGTGTGTGTCGCTGGCGCCTTAGCCACTTGAGCCACAGGCACCAAGCCAACTTTTCAATATTATTTAGAAATGAGCCCTACTATAAAAAGAACTCATTTATTCTAAGAACAGTGCTCTTGAAGCTTGGCGCCTATAGCTCAAGCAGCTAAAGCACCAGCCATATACATCAGAACTGGCACGTTCCAATCCAGCCGGGGCCTGCCAAACGACGACAACTACAACCAAAAAGTAGCCGGGCGTTGTGGCAGGCACCTGTAGTCCCAGCTACTTGGGAAGCTGAGGCAAGAGAATTGCTTCAGCCCAAAAGTTGGAGGTTTCTGTGAGCTGTGATGCCAGGGCAACAGCTTCAGGCTATGTCTTAAAAAAAAAAAAACCAGTGCTCTAGGAGCTAATAATAGTTGAGGTATTTTGAAGGTAGATTTACTCAATACAATCAAATTCAAAATCTAATTTAAAAATTGTTCATGCTTTGAAGTTTAAATAAAAACTCTCTCAATGGTCTCTAAATAAAGAACATTGATTGATTCTCTTGTAGCTTTTGAGGCCAGCAGAAAGGAAGCCAGAATATGTAGGCAAGAGTTTGAACAGGTGAAAAAAAGGAGATACGATCTTTTCAGCCAGTGTTTTGAGCATGTCTCAATCTCAATTGATCAAATCTACAAGAAGCTCTGCAGAAACAACAGTGCCCAAGTATGTATGTTTCACTCCCAAATACTCGTGGTGATTTTATTATTGGTGTTTTCATTATTTTCTGGTGGGAAATAAATAACTATAGCCACATTATTTAAGTGACTCACTTATGGGGCAACGACAGGTTATGAAGATTGGTTATCTAATGACCTATTTTCTAGATCCCATTCATTCTGAATTGGCTAGCCTGAACAACTCTAAACCTCTCTATGCTTATTTTTTCATCTGAAAAATTAGTAGATCATTTCATTTGGTTTCCAAGTTCCCTTCAATTGTGAAATTCTGCTTTCTGGTACTAATTTAGTTTTATAGAATTGTGGGGCTCTTTGGTAAAGGACAAATAATGTTGAGGATCTTGGGAGGATTTGTCTGTGGTGTTGACCAGAGTAACAAAGTAGAGGGAAAGAATTCAAGTCAGGATTCAAATCCAGATATGATAGTCCCTTTGCCATAACCACCTCCATTCCATTATCAATATCCATAATTTAGGCTGAGTGTGGTGGTTCATGCCTGTAATCCTAACACTCTGGGAGGCTGAGGTGGGTGGATTGCTCTGAGCTCAGAGGTTTGAGACCAGCCCGAGCCAGAGTGAGACCCCCCCATCTCTACCGAAAAAAAAAGCCAGATATTGTGGCAGGCGCCAGTAGTCCCAGCTACTTGGGAGGCTTAGGCAAGAGATTCGCTTAAGCCCAAGAGTTGGAGGTTGTTGTGAGCTGTGATGCCACAGTACTCTACTGAGGGCAACATAGTGAAACTCTGTCTCAAAAAAAAAAATTGTTTTTTTAAAAAAAAAAAATCCCCAGTTTAATTATTTTCAGTAAAATAAGACTAAAATAAGTGTATTAACTCACAGAGAGTAGGATTAAGCTGGGCATAGTGGCTGATGGCTGTAATCCTAGTTACTCTGGGAGGCTGAGGAGGGTGGATTGATCTCAGGAGTTCCGCCTAAGCAAGAGTGAGATCCCGTCTCCACTAAGAATAGAAAAAAATAATCTGCTAGGCACCATGGCAGGAGCCTGTAGTCCTAGCTACTTGGGAGGCTAAGGCCAGAGAATCACTTGAGCCTAAGAGTTCAAGGTTGCTGTATGATGATGCCACACCATTCTACCCAGGGTGACAGAGCAAGGTCCTATATCCAAAAAAAAATTAAAAATAGGATTCATCCCAGTACCTAGCCCATAATGGGTTTTTAATAAGTGTTTGATGAATGGACCAGTGAGTGAATTGAACAAAGACTTTTCCTAGGCTCAGCAGCCATAGCACAGTGGTTACAGCACCAGCCACATACACTGAGGTTGATGGGTTCGAAATCAGCCTGGACCAGCTAAACAACAGTGACAACTGCAACAAAAAAATAACCAGGCGTTGTGGTGGGTGCCTGTGGTCCCAGCTACTCTGGAGGCTGAGGCAAGAGAATTGCTTAAGCCTAGGAGTTTGAAGTTGCTGTGAGCTGTGATGCCATTGCACTCTACTGAGGGTGACATAGTGGTGAGACTTTCTCTCAAAAATAAAAAAAAAAAAAGACTTTTTCTAAGACCATGGTATGCCTTGCTGAGGTTTGAGTAGCAATCTGGTGGAAAGGCCTGATCCTCAGGTGTGTCAGAACGCTTTCCTTTGCTCTCTACCCAGCTAGTTGTCTGTGATTACATGTAGAACTAAAATACATTATATACAGGCATTGGTATTTTTCCGTCAAAATTGAAGAAAACTGGGGCAACCAGAGGAAGCCAGGCATCTTCTCCCATGGCAGTCACTGGCAGAACAGATCTGGGACAGAAACACAGGCCCCCTGAGACTTCAACCCAGAGTAACTGATCACTAGGGTAGAACACAGACTGGCTGAAAACAAGACAGAGCCACTTAGCCCCATTACACCAAGCAGGTCCCCAGTGTCTTAGGACTTAGCACTGTATGGGTCCTTGGCAAAGCTGGTTAATCACTACTCCAGGAGCCCCCAACCCAACTTCACCTTATCTGCTCATCTAGCCCAACGGTGTAAAATAATGACAGAGCGGAATCAGCGGAAATACTCCGGTAACATGAATAACCAGAGGAGATCAACTCCCCCAGGGAACAATATGATGGACACAACTGAAGATCCCATTCATAAACAGATGGCTGAGATGTCAGAAATCAAATTCAG